CTATCAACCTTGTGTACAGAGGGTATGGACATGATCCATTATGTGAACATTCTTTCCCTGTCAATATTTTCATCTACTACATCCATAAGTATAGGTCAAGTTCATCAAATTGTAGTAATTTACACTTGTTTCTTTTATTAAAAATTTTTTCTCTTCCTCTAGTCAAGATCTGATTATCAAACCATTGAAGCTAGATCAAATGGGTACTATCTGCAACTGTGGGCATTCTTGAGCATCACTTCATATCAGCTGACATAGACATGTGATATGTTAGTACTGACCTTTCTGTAGCCCTGAAAAGAACTCCATATTTACCTTTCTTTATAAAAGGAAGTTCAATGTGAAACTCACTTTAAAAATCACTAATGGTACTTTTTCCTGGGTTGTCATAAGGAATTGGTTCATTGTACCCCATACATGAATTACTAAGTGTAGAGCTTGGAAAGCACTACAGCCTCCTAGGTGAAGAGATCATCTCTGAGATACTCATTAGAATGAATTTGAGTGATAGATAGTTGTTGTTGTTAAGTGCTGTCAAGTTGGTTCTGAGTCATTGCAACCCTGTGTATGGTTTCCTAGGAGTGGCTGGTGATCTTGAACTGCCTACGTGTTGTTCAAAACGACTTTGCAGTCCAGCGCATTAACCCACAGTGCCACACCAGGACTCCAGTAGATAATTAGTACCTGCAATACAGTGTGTGCTTTATTGTTGTTAAGTGCCGTCTAGTTGGTTCCAACCCATAGCGACCCTGTATAGGGTTTCCAAGGAGTGGTTGATGAGTTTGAACCACCGACCTTCCAGTTCAAACAGACATTGCAGTCCAGCACATTAACCCACAGTGCCACAAGAGAGTTATTTTATTTTCTTCAGGATTCATCTCATTATAAATAATTTATTTTGGGGTAGCAGTATGAAAGATAAGTTAGAGAATATTCATTGAGTTATATTCTGTTTGGCTTATCATTTTGTTGAAAGTGACTTTTCAGCTTTTCTTAAAGAACTTAGAACAACTATGAATAAAACATTGAAAACTATGATTTTATAAAAGAGTTTTCAGCAAATTTAGAGAGATTGACAAAAATTTCGTTTAAACTGAACACAGATCTTTGGTTATAGTTAAGGAAATCTGCATTTCATGTTAAGTCAGATTGCCAACAATGTGCTTCTGGCAGGTGTGGACAGGCCATACAGACGTAAAGGAGCTAGTCCTGCTCTGCAGACGGAGAGTCCATCCTCCTCCTATAGTTGTTCATTCACCTTGGTAAAAATAAAATAGCACATCTAATGTGCGGTTAAGGTTTCTAAAACCTAAGTCCAGATTCATGTTTACAAACTTGGCAATGTGGCAATTGTTGTTGTTGTTAAGTGCCTTTGAGTGGATTCCGACCCATAGCGACCCTGTATAGGGTTTCACCGCTGACCTTGCAGTTCAAACGGCTTTGCAGTCTGGTGCATTAACCCACAGAGTCACACCAGGACTCCAATGTGGCAATTAGTAACCACCAAAAGATTCTGTTACAGAGGACTTTTCTGGATTAAAGATTTAATTATGAATCAGATAATTCCCCCTTGTGGTTGCGTCTAAATAAAAAAGTAATACTACAAAATCATGGGAACTTTTACAAAACAAAATTCTGAAAATGGGAAATTATTGTTATTTGACATGCCATCCATTTAGGTCTGTACAAAGTTTTTTGAATTGTGGATTGAATGAAGGTTTCCAAAGCTGATCATCAATTTTATATTCAGAAACTCATATACTTACCATTTCTATGATTGCAATCCCCTCAGTGTATGAACACTTTTCCACTTCCTCCCTTTGTTTCTGGTTTCCATTCCTCCTCCTTTCCCATCCCTTCTGAATTTTGTCCTTAGGTAAATGCTACCCTTTTGATCTTGAATGGTTGGCCATTCCGCACTAGTGGTATTGTCACCTCTGAATACCTGTTTACTTCTTGGCTAATAATTGAGCCATGAGGTGAGTTTAAGTTCAGACATGAAGAGAGTGACCAAGGGCTATAGTCTTGGGCTCTTCCTGTTTCTTTCTGACCAGTAAGCCTGGTTTATCTCAAGATTTTGAGTTTAGTTTCACATTTTCTCCCTTTCTATCCAGGACCTTCTAGTATGATCCTTTTCAGAGCAATTAATAGTAGTACCTGGACACCATCTAGTCTCATGATCATGAAGACTGCTGTTCACATGTTCCATTAGTTGACTGGACTAATTGTTTATAAGCATCTTTAGTTTTCATCACAGGGCGGAGCCAGTAATTAATTGTACCTTAGATAGCCACTCACAAGTTTAAGACCCCAGCTGCTACTCATAAAACTAGGATATAGAACATGGCCTTTGTGGACTATGTCATGCCAATTGTATATCTGTACTCGTCTGAAGGCAATGTTTCCATTTCTCTAACCCTTCACCAAGAATTCTGTGCTCCTTGATTTATCACATTAAAACGGCTGTTTTAGCATTATCCAGGAACTCAAATTGTGTTCCTTTTCAATGTTCTTTGAGTGTGGGCAACAAAATGAAGTCTTAATGGGGCAAGATTAGAGGCGTAGGGTAGATGGGATAAGGTTTCCGAATGAAATTCTCCTAGGACAGCCTTTGCTGCCCTTGAAAAATGTGCCAGGTAAACTGTCATGACGGAAAAAAATTCCTCAGTGCTACTTCCCTGGCTTTTTTCTCACCAATGCCATTTTCCATTTCTCTGAAGCGTCTTTTTATAATAAGCTCCTTATTGCCCTTTGTCCTTTGAGAAAATCTATCAAGATTGTTGTTGTTGTTGTTAGGTGCCATTGAGTCGGTACCAACTCATAGTGACCTTACGCACAGCAGAACGAAACGCTGCCTGATCCT